TTCCCAGACATAAATACACATTTTGCGCTGGATTTCAGCATGTTCCCGCTGCTATAGGAGCCCTCCGTGCTCCACTGGTCATTAAACACAATGTTTGACAGGTATGTTGGAAAAATGAAATATATACCTCCGCCCAAAGAAAGATCAACACCCACTTTTCTAAGACCTATATTGGTTAAAATCTGTCTGGATCCTGATATATGTCTAATGCTTGAAGCAAAAATTCTGGAGGTACTGAACGTTACGGAACGTCCTTTTCATCTCATTGCATTGACACAGTTAGTGACCTACCTTGTCAATATAGGTAACTTCTATCTTTTCCTGTAGAATAATGTTTGAAACACGTTCTTAAAGTGAAGGCTGATTTTCCTCTGAAAATCAAACAGCAGGAGCATAAATATCCAGCCAAAGAGTTGTATTTATATATACATAGTCAAAGGCAGGTGAACTTCTTGCAAGCCAAGTTTTTTGGCTTGGTTTTAATTCAAACTGGAAAATATGGCAAATGTAGTGTGTTCTAGTCAAAAGAAACCTCTGCTGCAATTTGAACTGAAAAGAAGTCATTCTTAGGGGTCAATTGTGATCCTCAACATCAATCAGTTTAGAACATAAGGGCTTTTAGTAATTTTATTATACCGGCTGCAGTAACTTAGGGTTCATTTCCCTCCCGCTCAGCTATCTAGCACATTAGGCATGCCTAAACAAGTCATCCCATCTCCTCCATCGAGGAAAAGAGAGCTATGCGCAATGCCAGACATCAATTCATCTCACCTACCTTAAATATCTGTCTTCGCGTGGGATGCATCACATCCTGGGGCAGCTTAGTTTCCTCAGGCTTGCCTTTCTCTAAGCCAGCTTGGCCCTTAGTTTATGATGGCAATCAGATGCATATTTATATCAAATCAGATTAAATGCCTTTGGTACTGCACACTAGCATTAAAAGACAACTTTTGAAATGTGGAAGTGAGAGTAAAAATAAGCAACAATTTCTGTATAAAGTAAAAAATCCACCAAATATTTAAAAATGTGGCATAAAAGTTACGATGGTTGCTTCATTTTGAGGAGCTTTTTCCCAAAGTACTTTGAAGTTTTCTCATAAAGGTATAACTTGAACACATGTTATGGCAATATATACAAATAGATATACAGGCACGCTCCTATGAGATTTTAGATGGTTAGCTGCTGAAGCCTTAGCCCTCCGCTGTGTCCCTCTCTCCACCGTGGAGAGGCTCCAGAGCCAGCTCCTAAAACACCGTGATTGATGGCGCTGTATTTTAAGGCAGACCAAAATCAATGCAAGTTAACTTAAACCACTACGCGGCAAACTGCTGCAGCCTGGGACCTGACTGACAAGGCAAGGAGCTGGGGACTAAAGCATCTTTGCTCCTCAGCCACAGCTGGAGGCCGCGGTGTCCCTGGGAAGGTGCTGCCCATTGGCGGCGTGTCGGCTCTACTGCTTCGCAACCCCCACGCTACCATGACAAAAAGCACCCCTAAAACTTTGCAGCTGCCAGTCACGTCAAAGACCTCAGTGTATGCTGTCTAGCACCAAAAATGTCCATGTACAAAGACACACAAAGGGCACAACGCCTACGAAAAGATCTATAGGGTGGATCTGGAAGTATTCCACATGACTGACACAATTTAGATATTATCAAACTGCAGGCACCTCATGTAAAAAAATGAGATTCTCTCTCACCTGCTCTGATTCCTGTGTATAAAGGAGATTGCCTGGAGTAGCAGAAAGGAACCGTGAAAACTCTCAGTCCAGACAAGGAACGTATTGCTGATGTAGGAAAGGAAGAGGGGACCCTCTGGCTCCCATCCGATAGCCCTTTGAAAGCCCAGGCGGTCTCCTGGGCCCGGAGGGGACAGGAAGGACAGACCCGCAGCACGTGGCACCAAGAGAAAAGGTCGGCCACACTGTGCCCATGCAGAGCTGGGAGCAGGCTTCAGAAATCAAAAGGTGCCCCTCTGATAAAATTATGCCTTAGGCCACATAACCTAAATCCAGACAAGGAGGCACAAAGATAGGTCAGCGTCTTCAGAGGCTTCAGATGCTGAACTGTTTCTCCAAGAGGTGCTGTACTAAACTTTGTCAGTGTTTGCTACTCACATAAAACGTTCCTTTCTGTTGCCTTTGGTGAGACTTCTGCCTATATCCCAGAAGACCAAGAAATTCAAAGAAGAAAAACAGCAGCACCCACCTAAACAAAAAGAAAGAAATGTTTTGGCAGAGTCCAGTTGATAAAAAGGTGCAAAAGGAAAGAAAAAAAAAAAAAAAGAAAAAAATTAAGGTTGGTTAGTTCTCCACAGAAGTAGTCTCATTGGCCTGACTACCTCAGGCCCCAATAAGAAAAATTATATACAATATTTCTCCTTTATTCTAGAAGAATTTCCTTTATGACTCTGAAGACAATATGTTTAAAAAGTCTTAAAAAAATAGCGTGATGATTTAAAAAAAAAATTTTGTAATCTGTTTTTCCTCCATGTGCGAGGATATGCTTCACTTCCAGGTATAATAGAAGTCCTTAATACTGACTTTTATAATACAGTGGAAACCCAATTCCAATATTTTGTATTGTGACTGTGTGTGCTAAGGAAACTAAACTTGAAATTAGAATCCCTCTGCATTTTCAAGAAAATAGGTTTTTATTTTGCAGGTAATTCTTTTTTTCTTCCTAAATTATACAACTTCACAATCGACGAGTCATGGGAACATTTCCCGTGGGAAAATCAAGCCAAAATAATATATATAACAGGAAATAAACCCAGGAAAAGGTGGTCATTGAATCAGGCTTCAGCAACATTTCTAAGCTTCAAAGTCCACGATGGGAAAATAAAGCAACATTCAGTTATATTTACCGAGCCCATTTATTTCTACAAGTTAATACTGCCTACACAGAAACTTTCAAGTAACGTGGCACAATAGGAGCGAATACGTGTAATGAAACAGTTGGTGCTGAAAACCTGGCATCCACATCATCAATGTTCAGGAGGTTTTGCTTTGGACGAGCTCCGGTGGGATCCCACGTGCTCAGCATCCATCAGCGGAGGAGTGTGTTGGCTTTGCTGCTGGAGGGCACCAGGCAGTTAGTTTGTATCGGAGAGAAACGCAGTTGGTGTGCTCTGAAGATGCTCCACGATGACACAGGCCAAACCCCGGTGAACTGGGATGGCAGGAGACAGCCTCAGAAGCAGAATTCTGACCCAAATGTAAATACTAATTAAACACGTGCACCGTCACCATGAAAATCTCTCTCTTGGAATGTTTGCCTAAAAAAGTTTCAAGTAACACTGAAACTGTAAACAGAAAACATTTAAAGGAAAAATTGTTTGTAAAATGTTTTCTGCGTCTTAAATTACTGCTCTTCAGTTACTCCCATTTCCCTACTTCTATGAAATTCCACCATAGAAATACAAGAAAGAAAAACACGTATAAATGTTAAGACATTTTACTGTACACCCTTAAAACGGTGAATATTCTGAATATATACAACACATATACAATACACAGTCTCCCTTTACTGTAGTGGTCTGGCTATTAGTTGTGCTTTTCTCCCAATTTAGGAAGTTTAACGTTGCATAGTTCCATAAATGTTTTCATGAAACATACTCTTGCTGATAGCAAACAGCTCAAAAAGTAGTGCATTCAATATTTAAGCATTATATTCTCAACAGAGTGATAACAAACCTTAATCTTAAGGCTGAGTAGTCTTTGACTAGAAATATAAAACTGAATTTCTAAGCATTAAAAAATTTCTTTATCCAGAACTATCTTTAAAAAAAGGGGCAAAACTTCAGCTCATATTTGAGCCAAATCTCAGCTCAAACATCATTCTGAAGAAGAATTTCGTTTATCAGTTTTGACGGCCTTTCTCGGTTTCTGCTGAGACAGAACCGGGAAGGAGACATTGGCAGAGCAGCAGTTCCTTGGATTTTCAAAGCCCAGTTAATTGGAGTGTGCTTGAATGGAAAGCCCACAGATTAAGTGTGTATCCTACTCAAATCAACAAATCTGTTGTAACTTGCCTTATACCTTATTAATAAAATGGTATTGAATTTATTGCCATGTCTATACAGTATTCCCATCAGTGACTATTATTAATTTCTGTCCACCAACAATTATATAAAACTTTAAATCAGGTTTGCCTGACCGATAACTGCAGGTCCATATGCTTCCAGATAGAAAATACTCATTACAGAAACAGAGGTCGCATTCAAATGTTTTGACTCATTTGAAGGTGATTGCTCAGTTGCTGTATTTCCTATACATATGTACACAAAGAAACATCGGTAAAAACAGTAATCAATTCCATACTGGTAGAAAGTTTAACGTGTATGAAATTGCTGCCCCCAGGCTAAAATCTTCCTGCCCCACTGGCAGGGTAATTCTCAGCAGGTGTTCCTATCGGCTATAGCGTAACAAGTCTGGAATGAAGACACCTTGAACTTGCCACCACAAAGGTGTGGAAACCACTGGGCTCCTGCATCAGAGCGCTGGTGCTCCCAGTGAGTCCAAAGGCATCGAACCAGGCTGCCAAACGGAGCGACGGGAGGGACATCAGCAGCTTTATCTCGCCCTGTCTCAGGTGAGAGGTGGGTTCTTCAGGGAGAGCCAGCAGGATACATTCTTCACAGTACACCTGACTATTACTTACACATTGCTTAAACCTATCCTCAGTGACAACGCAACCAAAATCCTAGTCTGACGAACCTACAGTTTGTTAAAACATGACACTAGAACAAAAGAAATAATGAAGACATGAGTTCCCTCATAGCACAAGTTCTTGCTTTCTATGTATAAACCAACCATATTTAAAAAAAAAAAATAAAATTGCAACACCATAAAATGCAGTTCTGGCAATTGGCTCGCTCAGTATCCATCTCAGCTGTGACTTGGTCCTCCAGTTTGCAGAACATTAGGTAGGGGAAGAAGTCTCCCTACCCCTCTCCCGCTGGTTGAAATGAAACACTGAGCCAAAAGCTGCACACGAAGATCAGGATTTCTGCTCCTCCTCCGGCGGGATGACTTCCAAGAGGAGTTGCAACGTTACAGTTACCCTGTCTGCAAAGATAAAAGCACACACATGGGGAACGCTGGTGTGGATGGAGAAGGCAGAAGCCTTCATACAGCCTACTTGTACACACAGTTCATAGCGGTCATATATACCAGGTGCATACATCATTTAAATGTCTGATTAAATTTTTTTTTTTCTTTTTAACTATGTTTTCTTTGCCTCTGATCCCAGGCTATGCATATGCAAGAATAATAGACAGGTACGGAGGTATAAACTAGTTCAATAAAGGTCTGCAGGCATTTAAAGGCTATCTTAAAGCGCAGCTGTTTAGTTTTAAAAAAGTTGCCATGTTGAAACAAAAGTCTGAACGAGTTTGAACAAGTTAATTCAGCTGCACCAAGATGTGCCTAAGCAAAAAAAGAAAAAAAAAATTAAAAGAAAAGGAACCCATGATTACAAAGCTTCACAGGCCTAAGAATGTCAGACAGCCAAAACAACTTCACACTTTTTGTCACTCTGGACAATTATTGCCTTTTGGTGGTTTTCTTTTTAGGGTACTGATTCATAGATGGGACAGTTAATGCACATATAGGACAGTAAAAGAGCATTTTCTCACTGCTCCTTTCACTTGCCACTTTTTTTCAGTAACCCGCTTTAAAGAAGCAGGAGCTGCTATCTGAGAAAGCACTGGGTTTCCTTGTCCGGCGCGACACGTCGGCATTTACACCAGTGGAAAGCAAGGAGGGTGAAACCGTACAACTCGCAGAAGACATGAACCGAAACTCCTTTCCTGCTCTCCTGTCTAAGGCAGACTCTGCCACCTTTTGCTCTTCTCTCTGGAGGTCACCAGTTCACTGCAAAGCCAGGTTGCCCTTAGACTATAAACTGATGGGGTCAGAGAGGCTGAGAGCCAACCGGGACTGCGTTTTCCTCCCGTCTCCCTCCCCCCTACCCGCAGTGGGGACTTCAGAGCTGGGCTGAGCACGGCCGGAGTGAAGGGCAGGAGAAAAGCTGACAGCAGGAAGCCAGCAGGGCTTCGCTCCCGCCCTCCCACCCCTTCCAGGTTTGAGGCTGAGCAAAGAAAGAAGAAATAAAACAGACTTTCTGTCAAGCTGAGCTGTGGTGCAACAGCTTGCGGAAAAGGGCACGGCAGCAGAGGGAAAGCCTGGGCATCTCGAGAGCTGGTGGTGATTTTAATGTCCTGTTTGACAAAGTGGACGGAGCCACCTGCAGCAAGACCTTGCCCTCGCTGTGGTGGGAGGTGGCCACTGCTCTTCCATTTTCATGGGGTAGTTTTGCTTTGTGCTGGGATGACTGGGGGGCTTGCTGCGTTGTTTTGGTTGCAATATACTCAGGATAAGACAGTGTAAGGAGTATTTTCCCCCCAAAAAATGTTCCAATCTGTCTCCAGTCAGTATCTCTACACTGTCTGCTTTGTCCAGCACCTGGAATTCCAGGACTAGCTTCACATTTCTAACACGACAACTTAACATGTTGTGTCAGTAAAGACAACTTCCCCCACCACTGCTTCAAACCCTAATTTTCCCTTTCAAGAGGAGAATTCACTGTAAATAGGTCCCAGGGGACAACCTCTCTAAAAAGCCCAGACCTGGCGTCTATATAAGCATTCCATAAAGCTCGGGTGAGGAAAGAAAGTGGTAATTTCCTGCGTACGTATAAGACCGGACATGAAATCTGCAATGGCAAAATGCTGAGATGATTTCCCGTGGATCCCAACGTCACAAACTCGACAAAGAGAAGCAATCTGGGCACATAACACCGTGTCCTGAGTGAGCAAGTGCCATTCTCTGGTGTTTGCAAATAACCCTGAAAGAGATATTTTGTTATATAAACAGATCTCTTTTCCAGCATGGGCTCAGGCTACGAAGAAAACAGGATTTGACTTTTAAGTTCCTTGCAATTCAATCCACTGTAAAGAAACAGATGTTTTAAATATGAGTCTAAGATTGGGTTTTCAACTGAGGAAGCTCCAATGGACACATCCTGGTGCTGGTGCCGCATGCTTTTACATACCAATCTGCTTTGTAGGATTTCCTAGGCTTGACTTTCCTTATTTTCACATCAGTTCTAACAAAAAGCAAAAAAGTGGAGGTCAAATAAAGCCTGTACTAGCTGAAAATTATTTGTCCCAGCACATCTGGTGCTACAGCAAAATTTCTTTGGAAAAGGAGAGAACAAAATGTTATTCTCGCTGCAAAATACCACCCAGACCCTATTAACCCCATGAACTGTGAAGTTACCCTTTGTTCCATACAGGAATTTAATAAGGAGAAATGTAAATGCTATTAAGGACAGTCAAAATGTACAGAACAAAAATATCCAGCCTTGGAGAGGATTTCTCGGGTAGTCCATTCCAGGTCTTCGCCACTGTGAGCAGCCTGGAACCCCTTTCATAAATGTACCCATCTCCAGGCTGGGTCTTTTACCCCACTACTCATTCTGGCTGTTCAACATCCCTCTCCTCTGGATCCTTACAAAACCTTTTCTGAATATCCAGCCTAATCTTATGTGGGGCTGGTCTGTACCCATGTGGTTTTGCACCAGTGCTGTCCTTTGCTTAAACAGCACGTGTTCCACGTAGGGTGTACGAGCAGCAGTCACCTCTCGTCTTCAAAGCATGCCTGAGTAGCTGAACAAGTCAAGTTCCCCAACAAGGTGATTTTGCAAATGGGTAAAGAGAGCCCCAGACCACCCTGTCTGTGAGCTGAGCTGGGCAGGTGAAGCAGCCTGGGAATTAATAATAATAATTAATTAATAACCTGTTAGCACGATGCTACCTTAGGACTTAGGCTTTGACCCCCCCTGTGGTACCACACAAAATGCATTGTTGAAGTCTAAGTAGACTGGATCTATCTCGTCCCCCTTTGTCTAGAAAAATCAGTTGTCTTCTCAAAGAAAGGTGCCCGGTTAAACTGGCAAAAATCTACCTCTTAAATGACAATCACAGTTTTTTCATCTTGTCCATTTACCTCATGCCTGGAATTACTCTTTCATGCCTATGTACATCTAATGCATAGTTTTTCAAGGTTAGAATACCAAGCTTGCAGCTGCCCAATGACTTTTCTATATCTCACAGAGGTACCTTAAGTGAATTTATCCTTGTTCAATGCCTTTGAAAAATGCTCTCAGACTATACAGTGCAGCTCCCTTACCACTCACAAAATAAGGCCAGTTTAATGACTCCACACAGAAGGTTTATTGCTTCTTCTGAGGAAGAAAAAAAAAATAAAAATCTTTTATTTAACAAGTAAATCTCCACTCTGCTCCACCCCAAAACTGTCAGCATCAGTTTCCCATCATTACTGTTGTTATTTCGGGAATAATAATTACAAGGTAAGCAAGCTGCTTCACCCACTGACTGGCATCCACCGTTTTCCCCTCCAAGCCAGTACACCGAGTCCATCCGTAGGTACTACACAGGCACCTGGCCTTCTTTCTAGGAGGAGAATTTTGTGTTATCTGAAAAGCTAGAAGATTCACCTTCGTTGTCACAGCTGGCAGAAAAAGCATCACATCTACCCAGTCTACCTTAAAGAGAATATTTTTTCTCTCACCCAAGTAATGCAGTTCAACACTGGCATCCTGTGGCCAGAAATTCAAGTAACCATATTCCAAAACCTCTGAGACTTCACAGAAAATGCCAAAAATCTCCTGGGTTTGATAAGGGAAAATTTCCTCATCCCTAAATGTCAAGGCTGAGAAATTATAAACAGACAAAACCCCAACTATTTAATAGAATGTCCTTTTGCATACAACTGTTTTCATTTGCACTGGAGCTTTCTACCCGTTCCCAGGACATTGCAAGTAATTTATAACTTTATGGATATAAAATTAAGACGACCAGAATGTGCTAACCTTAAACTAACATTTTTCCATAAATACTTTCTGCCCTATTGTCCATGGACTTCCCAGCATGAATTGAGAGGGAAAATCATAGACCCTGCAATAGATAGGGTATAACTATATAACCTATATTTATATAGAGAAAATACATATAAAAGGTGATAATATAGTAACATACATATAAACCCCCCATTCTTTTATTGTGAGCAGCTCATTTTAAATCACCCCTTTAAAACTGAAGCACAGAAAAAATACGTGGTTTTGATTCAGCTCCTATACAAATAAACTATTTTTAGTTGAAAACTTTGACAAGTTGAGTTTTTTCTTTTGCAGCAGAAGAGATTTTTCTTTCGGTTTTGTTTAATACATTATCCGTTATTCCTCAAATATTTTGCCTATATCCTTGTTTCATGTTTTGAAAATGACCTCCATTTTGGAAACCACCTCTTATCATGCTCAGTAACAAAAAGGAGAAGACTGGGGAGCTGTAATAAATGATACTGACTTCTAATTGAAATTCTCCAAACAACCCTTCTCCAACATATCAGGATTTCCACAAATGCTTTCAAAAACTTTCAGAAACGGTATAAAAAGATTCTCAGTGTATTTCAGGTGTGAAATACTACAGCCAAGTCACTCAGAAGTCGTTTTTCACGAAGCGCAGAAACAATTTCTGCAGAGGTGTGTCAGGCACAGTATATTTTGCTATCATTTTGTTGGGAGCCACCACTAAGGACAATATCCCCATACCAAGCCCGACTGAGCATGTCCCGTTCCGAATACTCCACAGACAAGGAGCTGAGCCCATCCTGCCATCACAACTGTGACATTCAGTTTCCAAACCAATTCTCCCAGGGGTGAAATACTTTCTCTATTAGTGTAGGCCAACACCCAGGGGAGGGAGATGGGTGATTTAAAAGGAACCAGATGTTTGTAGGGGAGGGAAGAGAGAAGAGGGCGCGGGCAGAGACATCCGGTCATTTAAAGTCAATCAGTAGCTGAAGAATGGGCTTGCTGTAAATGTATCTCGTTAGTTAACAGGCATTCCTTGTAACCCATGTGCCAAAAATAAACTTGCATTGTCATCCCCGGCTCAGAGCAGCCGAGAGGATCCATCAGAAGGATTTCACAACACAGGGAGCCTTGAGAAATTCCTGGAGTCAGCACGAAAGAAGGGACTCCCACCAGGACTTACCTAGGAGCTTTCTGAACCACTTTGGCTTCTTGTCCCATACAATAAAGAGGTAGTAGGCAGGAACTCCAGTCAAAGTTATTGCAAATCCAATCCCTGTATTCACTGGATCAGAGTAAAGTGACAGTGCAACCATGAAGAGGCAGGTGAAGGAAAACAACGCTGGAATAAATAGAGGCACCTGAAACATAACCACACACAGAACCATTACTTTGCATCGACCTTCCTATTGAATGACTATGGCATTTAATGTTCCATGAAACGTAAATTGGATAAAACCCAGCCGCAGAGGATAGTTCTGGAGAAACACAGGTACCTAGAACATGCACACAAAATGTCAGTGACCGCAGAAACCAAGCCATGCAGAATGCTACGAAGCAAGTACCACAGAAGTCTTTTAATTACAGGCTAAAGCACTACAGTGTTTTACATCTTTTAAAACACGAGGGCTGTAAAGAAGTTACATTGCCAAAGTCCTTCCTCTAATCCTCCAGTAGATAAGTAAGCAACGCTAACTGCAGTAAAGATTTCCTCTTTGATAATTACCTATTAGAAAACATTTTAAAACACAACCAGGAGCTCAAGTCACCTTTTAAAGCTATTAAGAACATATTGATTTTCTTCCTAAGGTAAAAATCAAAATCTGGCAGGAATGGAGTAAATTAAACACCAATTTGACTAGTGATAAAGATATTTGATAGCATTACGCAACTGATAGCTAGTGAAAAAGCACTTTCTAACTGCATGACTGACAGTATTATCAGTGTCATTGTTGAAAATACAAAAAAATAGCAATATCAAATTAATTCTCTCGATTTTCAAGAACACCACTACAACCACTGCATTAGCACCTCTCTGAAGGAAACGCCTCCAGGCATGGCTAGCGCGATGTTCAGTGTAACGGAGAATTGGAAAATTCCTTGGAGATTATTTTCTTCCTTTCATGCCTTGAAGCATTACGGTTCCTCTTTTGTGCACTGCCAAAGCATTATTTTTTTTTTTTTTTTTAAACAAAGCAAAATAGGTTGTGCTGTTGACCTTATTTACAGATGTACCTACAAGAATGCAACAGCACACATTCTTCGTTCTTCACAAAATAGCCTTCTTGGCAATATATAAATAGGGATAGATTCCTCCTTTTTTTTTCTATGACAGACATTATCTTTCTGGATACACAACGGGACAACTTACTTTGTAAGATGTTCCTTAAAATAAGCAAGAAGAGTGGCAGAACCAAGGCCAAACCAGCTACTGTTCAATGGACCAGACTATTCGCATTTTCTTTCTGGGTTCACAGTAATTGTGTCTGCAGATCCATTGCAAGCCCCAAAAATCATAGTAATACCGCTGCTAACTTATTTGCACACCAAATTGACATATTTGATGTTGGACAGACAAGGAAATAAAATGTTTAATATTAATGCTTACATCTGTCGTGAATTCTGGTGGCAAAATTATTCAGGCCTTTATTAAAGGCGACATTAAATAGAGGACTGGCTGAAAATCAGGTTGGCACACGTAACCCCAATATTTGTAGTCTGAACCCTATGTGACTACACAGGCCGGGAGGTATTTTCACACAGCTTGCACCAGCGTGACAGGCAGGCAAACCCGAGCAAACACCTTCACTTTGGCACAGCGGCTTCAGTCACTGCCCCCTGCTACCCCCCCAGCACTGGGGAATAGGCCAGAATTATCTTTTGGAAGGGAACGCAGCTGGGGTAGCGCTGGGGAGCTTGCAGGAAAACCCTGGGAGACCCTTCAGCACAAAAGACTATTTTCTATTAACTCTGTTTTTCTCGGAAAAAAATAGGTTAGCTTTCTACATCAGAAAATGCTCCTTTACTGCCTGACTACACAATAGACATGGGGGAGAAGGATTCATGTAAAACAGGAGAGCGCGGAGGTTACCTTGAAAGGACGAGGCATATCAGGACGTTTATATCTGAGATAAATCAACCCAGCAACTACCAGTCCAATAAAAAGCCACCTGGCAAAACTGAGGAAATTCAGGAGGCTGTAGAGATCCCCGTTGAATAACATTATCATTGTGAGAGGATGCTGCAAAAGAAATTCAGAGCGTAAGAGGGGTTTAGTGGACCGATCTCTATTATTTCACAGCAGCTATGTCAAATTTTTCCATGGGGACAAGCAGCACAGCCCTGCAGAGACACCCGAGGGCCGCAGTTCTGCCTTCCTCATGCCAATAGGTGTGTGATCAATACCTAGCTGTCCCCCAAGATCCCGTGCCATCAATATCTATCTGTCCCGGGTGGCCACACGTGATTGATACCTATCTGTCCCCTGTGACCCAGGCAAATACACAGACACACAGCCCGCTGCGTCACCAAAATGCTTGAGCATCCTGGGCACCATTCGCACGGGACCTGACAAATATGTGAGCCCACCGCAGTTTTACTCGCTCATCACTGATGCAAATGATAAGAGCAGTTAAATTTTGGCCACATCCGATCATATGGAAGTGGAGGTTTCTGGGGGTCTTGTGGAAGGAAAAAGTCTTATCGCCCCCCCCCCAGGCTGCAAGAGGGGAACTCAGCAGAGCCCCCTCTGGGTGGTAAGGGGTGGCCACACACTGTGGGGTGCCAGCTGGGCACACCGGGCTGCCACCAGCTGGGGTTTGTGGTATGCCTTTTGGGCTTGCAGGGCATGGACTTATTGCCCATCGGAAATGTAAGCCTTTCTAAGCAAAGAGAAGCATTTAGCTGTCCCTCAGGTGGCTACTGAACAGCAAGGAGGAGAGGGGACACTAGAATAAATAAAATTCCTCATTAAAAAGCTGTTGTGGGATACAAGGCTTCCGTGAGGCGGGCAAAAGCTCATGTACAAACTAGAGTGGTGCACCTTGGCTTAGACGATTAGCATAGGCTACAGGGATCTGTTTCAGGGGAATCTCTCTAGACAAAAGCAGAATATTTGTAGTTTGGATCAACTCTGCAGGGTAGTCCACACCACCTGCATGAGGCACCCTGCGCTTGCAATGACAGAGTCCTTGCACTGGGGGGTGAGGGAATGAGCCAACTTCACTGTAGCCCTTATTGTTGTTGGGGTTTTGTTTGGGGTTTTTTAAGCAGTGAAGGAAGCATGGATTTGAACCAGAAGGATTAATATTTCAAATACAGGTCTCTGGCTTCCAACCTTTAATGACTTACAAAGCACTTGGTTCTTTACACACAGATATTAAGCAAACTCCTTCTCGGTAAAGGTCAAAGGAAATTTTACCACTGAGTTATATTGAGCAAGATTTCTTCTATACAGACTCAGGCCCTAAAAGTTGAAAATCTCAGTTATAAGTATAATAATGCAAGAAAGGGCCATGGACAGTGCAGGAGAGCTATAAAGGGAAAAAAAAAAAAAAAGGATGACAACCAGATTGCAGATTGCACATCTATCAAATACCAGGACATACATATATAAACAGATTTTTTAATTCCTAAAAACGTATTTTTATTTAACAAGCCTCAAACACTGAACATGCTCATTTTCTCAGTTTCTCCTCAAGACCTCTTTCCTTTCTTACAGTGTGTAGACCTTGGCAGGAGAAATAAAATAGGAAAATGCCAAAATGCAGACTATTAATGTACAGTATGTCCTGCAACTACTCTAGTTGCAAAAAGGTAAGAAAAAGAATTTCCAATCTCTGAAGGAAAGCCATCTTCATATGAGAATCTGACTTTTTCAAAGGAAATCAATGCACACATGTTACAGGACACTGGTGTAGCAGAAAACATCTTTCAGGAAAAAAATAAATAAATACTAATACATTTTGTGCATTTCATTCCACAGAAAAAAGTCAATGTGGTTTACCTGAAAGGTACGGCTATTTCAGCCCAAAGAAATAAACTGCAAAGTAAATGCTTATGTAAAATGAATTTCATTAAAACTTCTCACCGTAATCACATTGCCTAATTTTCAAAATTTGGATGCTAACGGTTGTATGTGTGCATATAAAATTCAACGCTTCATCTGGCGCTTCAGAAGTGAGCTTATAGGCATCTGTAGCAAAAACTGATTTAAATTCCAGTACAAGCATCCGATCCTACCAACGTACAATCACGGATGCACACGCGTCTTCTGCTGTGGCTAGAACTCCCCACAGATGCAGAGGTCTGTCCAGGTACATTACAGTCATCGCTCCCAAAAGAGGGGCTGAACACCTACGGTTATGAAGGCTGCAAGTTAAGTGGAAATCTTCTTGGCACTATGCAAACCGAGGTTTGAGGTTGGTATTTTGACATTTTGTCCTAACATTTTACCATACAAATTAGTCTACAATGTAAACACATGGTCAACATTTAGCTCGGCTGCTATTTTAGAAGTCAGTAATAGGATTTCCACTATAAATACTGGTGGTTTTCCTTAGACAATTCATAGACTATTGCCCAGGCACACGTTCTCTCATTTTTTAATCACCGCTCCACTGCACTGCTGAGGGTTCCCCTTCCATTATCTTAGTGCATAATTGTTTGCATTTTTCACTATAAGGTGGTATAATGAGCCTTTAGGGTGCTCCCAGATGCTGGTGTTTAGCTGCACTTTCGGTTAAATGAATCCCTTTTTTGTTTGTTTGTTTGACTGGAATTTGTTTCTCTGAAAGGGCGCTAGCTCATCACGAGCAGGTCCTTAGAAATAAAGGGCAATCCGACATGAATTAGGCTGCGGCAATAGGCAGTCAAGTGCTACCAACAAGATAGCAAGGAGATGATAGAATAAGAACAACTCCCAAATCTCATTCCTCTCTTTACTGTCCTCTGCCCTGCCCAAAGCCCACGTACACATTAATAAATGAGACTCAAGCCGTGCCCAAATTCTGTTCGAATCCTCCAGAGCAAGCCTGTAATATGAATTCTCGTGCAGGAACATTTGTTTGTATGATTTACCAAAACAATGACAGCTGGCAGAGGAGTGTGCTTGCGGACATGAATCATGGAGAGAATTTCCGGAAGGTGACCCTCGCGGGATGCAACGAAGAACATCCTGGTGGGAAATAAATGTGGACAGACTTTAAATGTGCTCATTACTGCGACTAGGCAAAGCGGCTCATGAAAGTCACAGAGCACAGCAGCACTTCTTAGGCTTGTTTGAGGTATTCGGAATGAAAAGGCGAGCAGGAGAAACCCATACGCAGAAATCAAAGTCATCTCTGAATGCATCCCCCTCCTTACCTTACGCTATGATCGGTGTTTGGAATTAGTTACTATTTTCCCTCTAAGTTCCCTCCTTCACATGAAACAAAGCAGCCATTAATTAAGTGCTATGCTCAGAGGGATCCATTCCCAACCCATTCAAAGGGTTTTAACAGGAAGATACTACATTCAAAGGGAACAAAGTAAGAAAAAGCCCCACACCTGGTAAACATTACAGTCGCTTTTCATTTCCTGTTAGAGGAGAGAGAAACGTAGGGTCATTTTTCATAAAACAGGAAAGTAATTTTACTCTATTAACAAATTATTCATAAGCATGGTAAGTTTTATTTATATCCCTTTCTCCGCATCCCTCACCAAAAGCTGTGCTGTGCATTTGTTACCTCTCACTTTGTGACACCAAGGCTACTGCAGGTGAGGTCTCCCACCCTGGCTCCTGACTGCGTGTGGAAGATCAGCAGCTGAGGCAATGCTGTGGAGGTGGAATCAGGCCCCAATTTATGTCAGTTTAGACCATTACGACTCCAAAAAAGAAGACCCAGTCTGAATGCAGCAAGGTCTGAGACCTGCATACCTAATATTTTTTTTCTACAGCCTTCATTTTACTTAGCTGATGCTACCCAGTGGTATAGTCCCATCCATTCACACTTTACGGTTCTAGGTTACCAGAAGAGCCTTAATTGGAGTTCTGGGCACCACAGGAGACAGGCACAATTTTCTTCAGTTTTGTTTCTAAATCTCCCAAGAGCTACTGAATTTGGTCATTTTTTAAATGCCACATCAATTGAAATAGCCAGAGGCAGTGTCACTACTGGAAAGTAAATGGAAATTTTAATTTTCTCATTGCGAGTCAGATACCATAAATATAAAAATCAGTGTCATCACCGCAATTCCGCAAGAACAATCAAAGCTGTATTCCCAAGCCCAGTAGCCTTGCAACTCCTTCCCAAAAGAGTTCCAGTATTCACAGCAACCCCCTTCCTAAGTACTCGGGATGCACGCTGTGCAGAGACAGCGTTACGCCTTCTTGCTACAAAAAAATAGTTCAGAGCTCCAGCTTCCACAAATATCTGTGTTTCCTCCTTCCCAGGAGTTCAGCCTACAATTTAGCAAAGAATTTTTCAAGCATGCACTTGGCTATAACATTTAAGTCCTATTGACTTTGTTACGTCAGGTCAAAAAATACTGTCTAACATGACACTGCAAATGCTATTGATGGCCTGAAGTGCAATCCCACTCATCAGTCAAAAATCAGACTAAGTTCACCGGGATGCTAATACGTGGTGCAAAAGAGGAGCCATAGAAATGCCTGATTGGATGTCCCACCCCCCACTCCCCACCCCCATTTTTTTTCCCCTGGAAATAAGAATACATCAACACACACAACTGCAGCAGGGATATAGCTTTGTGTTTTTCTTCTGTAACTTACCACTGCTACAGCTTTTGAAAGCAGCAATTCCCCAGCACTGATTGTAGTGAAATAAGCCACGTTTGTTAACACATAGCCAACTGTGACGATAATCATTGAAATGCATATTGCGAGGGGTATGTTTCTGAAATACACAAGGTAGCTCATTATTTTGCAATCTGGTTGCTATTCCCTGAACATGAAACAAATAACATGAGAAGAAGCCACTAATGATGGCGAATGCACATTTGGTGATCCCGAAATAACATAATTAGAAACTACTGGTAAAAAAAAAAAAAAAAAAAAAAGCAAAAAAAACCCCACATCTAAACAAAACCATCTCGACAAAGCAAATAGGTTTATAATGAAGAGGTGAGAAACCATTAGAGGAAGGAATCTTTTTGGGACACCAAGAGGTTGTGGTGCTCAAGCTTCCCATGCGAGAAGCATGGCCCATCTGAGCTGCCTGCCCATGCTGACTTTAAAGCCGAGCCCAATAGGAGGCAGCAGGTATCAGTGCTTGAACCAGCAATAAGGCAGATGATGGATGCAGGCAGTTCAGCTCTCTGTCAGGAGAGCAATTGCGGTGGCATCTCCAACACACCTACTGGCACTCAATGACTGCCCACCTGGAGGTGGTTTGACATCTTCCCCTGGATGCCAGAATGTCTGGCACATGAAATTCTGCCCTCTCCTCCTCAGTGCAACTCTTCCCTCGCACACTGTACCATATCCCAAGTACCTTTCTCACTCTTCAAGGACACATGAGGGCAGAATATGACACAGAAATAGGTACAGCACAAGAAGTACTGAACAGTACAAACCCCCTGACATCATAGCTAAAAGACAGAACAATAACACACAAATAAATAATAACGCTGAACTTTTATATAGGGCGTCCTCCCAGTCAGCAAAGCAGAAAAGCAGAATTATTTCTATTTTAAAGAAGAGGAACAGAGGTACAGTGAATTTGTCTGAAGCCACCCTGCAGGCAAACGTTTGAGTTGGGAACAAGACCCAGATGCTTCATCTCTTTCCACTCGATATCATTGCTTGATATCATTGATATCTGCATTACACCAAGACGAGACTCACACCTGAAACCAATGTTCGGTCCTTTAATTCCAAGGCCAAGGGTTGCAGCTGGAAAGATGCAGTATGTGCGCTCCCTCTGAGGAGAGCCAAGAGCTCCTGTCTCATGGCCCGTTCCCTCCAGTCATCTATATTGAGATTGTTTTTGAAGAGATGCAAAGTTTGCGACATTTAGAGAACCTTGCTGTAAAGTTCACGCCATCAGGTGGGAGAAAGGAGAGATGGAATGAAGGATTCTGGTGTCCCAGGAGAGACCTCAGGCACAGTCCTAAAGGACTATTGCTGTTACCTCAAAGGGAAAGGTGTTTCAGAAAATAACACAAGATTCAGCATTTTCTGATTTTTTTTTTCCTCAAAGAAACACAGCTGGGCCAGAATTTTGGGTTTCTCTTCACTACCAGTCCTTGTTTCTCAAAGAAATCCTTGACATCACTATGCCCGTATAGAGCTGAAAAGAAGCTCTAAACTGAGACTAAGTAAGTAAATCAAATGGGGTAGCACCGCTGTTGGACACATCTTGCCCACCTTAGAAACCACGGTGTCAGATACTATCATTAACCCAGACGCATGGGTAGGTACGAGGATCGCGCCATACTGCAGCACCAAATCTGGGTGGACATGATGTCACCGCGTTAACACACTGCCACCTCACGCACACGGTCTCAGGTGAAGAAGCTGGAAGGAGGGGGGTCAGTCAGCTTGTAGGGTGTGCTTGTTGGTGGAGAAGGCAACGGCAAGGACCAGAGCAAACAGCCCAGAACACAAGTGCTGTATTGCTGAAAAACCCACAGAGTTACTGACTCAAGGAATGCGGCTGGATTGCGTGTTGATAATATGGCTGTGCAAAAAAATGGTTTTGTAGGTCAGTTGCCAGATATTTTGCAACCAGTTTGTTTAAGCTACTTACCTGACCTGGGTGTAAATTGAATTCAATCCCCTTAGCATCTGATTCAAGGTAGGGATAGATGGTTTCAAAGCCTCTCAGAAGAGAGAATTTAATTATATCTTCTGCATCGCCAATAAATGCTTCACCCACCAAGCTATTGGATAAATCAGCACTTACTCCAACCTTAAAAAAAGGTTTCCAGCCAAAGATAGCAAATTTGTACTAGTTTCACAGATACCATTTGAATGACTGAAACCACATTGTTAAATTTAACAAACTGTCTTTGTCCATTCTAACTCTTTACCAAACACCTGCTTGCTGTATTCGCTTTCTCATTTACATCCCAGTCTGATTAGCTCTAAAACAAAATGGCAGTTCAAAACTAAGGGGGAAAAAGGAAAAAATGCTTCCATACGTGACCCTTTTCTCACACCATGGGTCCTGCCTTGTTATGCTGAAGAGCACCAACCCCTTGGGTAGTAATACCACCACCACAAAAAAAAAAAAACAAAAAAACAAAAAACAAAAAACCACACCTCAGAAAGAATAAAACCCCCAAACTACAACCCAGGACTAGTCAGCAAGCACTATTCATTAAAAAGCCCACAGATCATAATTCACGCCTGGAGCGGCACAAGGGATGCTGTGACTTCTAAGTTCCTGAGCCTTCGTCTCCTGAGCGAAGCGGGCTGCTGCGTTCGCACACAGCCCTCCGAGTGCTGCTTATTAGGCACTGCTTTCGGTGGCAGATTTTAGACAAAAATGAAAGGCCAGTTTCAAGATTTCAGGAATAAGTAATACAATACGCTTCATTTCTCACTGACACCTCAGTTCAGATTTGCACTTGGTCCTCGAATCGTCTGAAAGCGCAGACAGACGGGTACAAACCGTATGTAAAACCACTAAGCCAGAGCTTTAATCGTGTCTTTTCTATCCACCCAATTTAAGAGGCAGTTCCCAGTTTGCAACAGGATACCATTATCAAACTCTCTGCTATGAACTACAGTCACTGCGCTGGAATAAAAACTGTAATGCCATTAGCATTAAGATTACCTCCTTTCCTTAGCGAATCACTGTACTAATCTTAGTAGTTTAGATATTCTCCTGGACTTCCAAATCTTCTCTCCAAATCAGGAAAAATCATACTTAAGTTCTATTCTCTGTTAAATTGCCTCTATTGCTGCAGATTTCACCTTTTCCCTTTTACATCCAATGAATCAAACGCAACGCAGGGTTTTAGCCCACCGATAAGCCATGTTTCTGGTGTAATGCAAATTCACAACTGCCACCCAGATAGCGGAGAGTTTTGGACTAGAGGGAATCAGAAAAACTTAAGGAAAAAAAAAATATTTTTCACTTTAAGACTTTGATTCATTGAAGCTAAAACTTTCGATGGGAAACCTGGTCATTTCAGTATGACACTTCTTGGGAAAAAAACCTTAGAACCAGGCAGAAATCTCATCCAACCAGTAAAGACCTTGGAATGACCAATGGCTTAAAAAACATAGCACTGTGTGTGCTCAGATACAATATTTTATTTACTTAAAGCAGGCCCAGGAGTTACATGGGAGTGGCTACTGATTACTGTAGGGCAGCGCTTTCCTTTTGCGTTTCATCTCAAGGTGAAATCTCAACAGATTTCAAAATCAAGAGAAACTACTTTCAAATTAGCTGTTTTTCTGGGTAGACCTTCAGGTGCTGACGTTAGTCCCAGACCCGCACAATGATTTGGAAGCGTCTTGTGCATTACTGCCAAGTTGCTGTTCGAGCAGGCTGCTCCTCGGGTAGAAGGGGAAGCCGCTGCCAGCAAAGTCTTTTGCAATATTCATCTCTTCTCCCAGAACTTTGAATAAAAACAGTATCAAAAGGAAAAAATTGGAGGAAACCAGAGTCAGGAAAATATTGACAATATAATTAAAAAGTCTTTATAAAATCAGATGAGAGACAATTAGGGCAGCTGCTAAGCATCTGAATGCTGATGAAAACTGAATTCAATCTCCTCACATTTTAAGATTTACCCATCCCTAGCCACTATTCAAAGCCAAATCTTCCCCTTCTGCCCTATATGCAAACACATTGTTATGAAGAATCATAACAGCTCAAACAAAGAACACATCTACCTTGTGCTTCCCAGAAAAAAAGTCACTGAAGAGTCTACCATCACAGAGAAATTCAGCATTAGCAATAGAGCTAGTCCATCCCATGGCTATACAGGGCTGAAACGCATTGCCAAGCTACACTGCATATGGCTTGGAAGCAAATTTCCTCCTTCTAGAGCCTGTAAAGGGCCCCGGAGCCAGGGCACAGGGTTCAGTTAATCAGGACATCCACTGGGTTTTGGATTTGACCTTCGGTGTTGCAGAATCATAGATCTTCTGGTAATCTGCTCTAGTACTGCACTACCTCCTACAAATATTTGTGAGAGAAAAAACACAGAGCAGACTGAGAAAGAGGAAGGATGGGGGGGAAAGAAAAAACTGAAAAAGGGGGGGGGGGAACGCAGACTGAGAACCCGGGGACAAGAGCAAGGTTTATAAATCAGCTGAAGAACATTCCCAGAAGCTCACACCCCAGTTTAATGACAACTTTTATAACGACAAACAGCCCGCGCTAAGAGCCGTGACCCCTGGGGGCTGTTCTTTCTATGAAACGAGAAGCACGCAGTCAACCACGCCACAACGCGTCAGCGGGTTCACACTGTCACCGCATCCCTTACTGCTTAGAGGCCATGCCCAAATCGTTTCCTTGCATCTGTATCAAAGCCAGGTTTTACAAATGCTCAGTCCAAATGCTGGGCTGCCCAGGGAAGTGGTCGAGTCCCCATCCCTGGGGGTATTTAAAAGCCGGGTAGACGAGGTGCTTAGGGACATGGTTTAGTGGTGGGATGGCAGGGTTAGGTTAAACGTTGGACTCGATGATCTTAAAGGTCTTTTCCAACCAAAGCGATTCTATGATTCTATAAGTCGACTGTCCCGGGTAAAGCTGCGCCAGTGGGACCCAGCTGGGAAACAGGGAAACATAAGTCCTAAACCCATTAATTAGTTATCGGTAAAGTTAGGTGAGATAAACCACATCTTGGTCCGAGTCGACTGTCCCGGGTAAAGCTGCACCAGTGGGACCCAGCCGGGAAACAGGGAAACATAAGTCCTAAACCAATTAATTAGTTA